CATAGTGTAAAAAGATATAAATTTTAATTGTTACCAACTAATATTTCTAAGAACTAAATTTTATTAATATTTAAAAATAAAAGCCTGGTAATGCGAGCTTGCGTGCTTTTATTTCACAATTTCTATCTCTCGTGAGATAGAAACGTTACATGACACATGACAGCTTTTCAAAAGTATCCTTTCTCCTTGTGTTGCGACATCACTGTTCAAAGGATCGTACCCCCCTCCAGTATTGGGCGCCGTGCGTTTAAGACGTTAAAAAGCACGTGTGTGTGACAGACAATTATGAGACCGGCTACGACTTAAGACCACATGAAGGATCACGCACGTCAGCCTGATACTCGGGCGAACGGGCCCCCTTTCACAATGGCTGACTTCGTAAGGCAAAAATCAGAAAGTTAGGCCCCCGATCCCGCGCTATATCTCGGCTGCGAGCAGAGAGAGGAATCAGCGAGCTAGCGAGTTTCCGAGGGATGCGCAGCTGTCATAGAGAGTGCAGCGATTGGCCGCTACTATTAGTCGGCCATGCTGAATCTTTCCGGTCTGGCTTCTCCTCACAATGGTATTGAAGAGGAACAGGGTCAGTAACTTGGCTAAAGATCAGGGTCGTCCAATAATATCTAACGTCGCTTTCGTACCCGCGAGTGCGTTTCGTTATTCATTGTTCAACTGACAACATTGCCTGTTAACTTGGTAAAGTTGATAGGATTCACATTAATTAGTTGTGCACAGATTTATTTTTTAATAATTAAACTGAATTACTAAAACCAAAAAAAAACTTTTTGATTCGCGTATAATTTATATTTTTTAATTGCACGATTCTTTGTGTGTTAAATATGTTTCAGTATGACATAAAAATCTTTTATGCCTGACGATATCCTTGACTGTTGCTGGTGACATGTGGAATATGCCGCCGCGTGTGAGACGAGTATGTCGTCGATTATAACAAACAGAAACGCGGTGTGCCTCTGTTATTAAAATAAATCCCATCATAATCATTCCTAACACTTCTGAAGGGAATCTGGACTAAGCTAGTAGTAGCGGGAGAAAATGGTCAAGAGATGGAGAGAGAAAGACAGATAGAGGGTTGCCGGGGACTCATCCACGAGGCCGCGTGCCGCCACCCTAAGGATTAAGCGCAATTATTGGAATCACTCCGGTAGACCACAACCCGTTTCACACGCTTCTTGTGTCCTTTTGGACTGTTATGAGGGCTTACTCCGTTATAAAAAAAAAACCATATTCTTTTAACATTTCAAAAGTTACAGAAATAAATATGCCAACATTCGCAATTAGATATAAAAATGATGGTTCGATTGCATACCCCTTGTATAAATTAAAATACAATTTTGAATCACAATTGCATCTTTTACAATTATGTCAATTGTAGAAGAATAAAAACTATAATAACAATAAGTTATTAGAATACTTAATATAAAAACATATTTAACTTTTACATTTATAAAACAATATTTATATTTTAAATTATATAATATAAAATCTTACATTTAGTTACTATATTCCTTCTTTTAATTCGGAAGTTAAAAAAAATATATGTGAAAAAATATTTCGTGATTATATCTTCTAACTAGAAAAAATAAAACGAAAAAAATGAAGAAAAATAAATTAAACATTACAGTATTCTAAAGAGCATAAAAATTAGTTGTTTTCTTTTTAATATTGACCTTTCCTTTCTCAGTCCTTTCATACTCGTGAAGAAATAAAACTTGTATTTAAGTGAATGTGCGGTTTAGCAAGCTGTAATGAAATAGTATAACGAGATAACATTAACGCTTTTTGTACACCGGAATTTTCAACGTATCGAATATACAAAATGTCTTCACTTATTTTTTTAAATGTTTGATTTTTAATATACATATTTATAATTAGTTTAATATTAAGATTTTTATCGAAATTAATTTTAAATGAAATATAGTTAAGCTATCATTGTGTATTCATACACAATAGTCATTCTGATGTAATAAATTAAAAAATTTTGAATTTTGTACAATTTAAACAATATTAATGCTTCAACATTATTATCAATAAATCAAAATTTATTGAAAAATTGTAAATAATTAAAAGCGCAGAGAGAACTCAGAATACTTCGTATAGATTCAAATTACTTTACTTTCGAATTCGAGTGGTTGACATTTCTCATGGATGAGAGAGAGAGAGCCGACCTTCTGCCTCTTTTTCCTCGTATTGCTTCGAAGGAAATATGACACCCGTTAGCGCCGCCGTGCCATATTGTTGCAAAATCCGCGGACTAAAAACATACGTTTCAACGAACCAAAGTACATATTTATATCGTGTTAGCCATAATTAGTTGCACAAAAGCCGTGCAAAGTATATTGCGTAATCTATATCTACGAATGAAATGCTAGTCATTGCATTTTTTTCCGATTACGTTTTATGAGCTGATTCCGTTAAGAGCATGCAGTATAGTAATGCTTTTTCCTAACCATTAGCGTGCTTGTGACTATATTATGTACTAATTAAAATTTAATAAAAGAAAACGACGAGCAAAGATTTCGATAAATTTTTAGTTTGGCTTTAACTTAACATTTTACTACATATTGAGATTTATTGTATATATGTACACATGCATAATACAGTGAACTATTACAATACAATGTAATATTATGTTTGTAAATTAAAATTAAATATTAACATGTTCTGGCTATAAAGAGTCAACGCTGTTAATAAATAATCACATATTATATATTGATAATAAAAAATTCATTACATCCTTACAAATAAAGCCATTCTTAAGCCTTTAGACTACCGAAACTAGCAAGGCCTGAATAGTCTAAAGGCTTAGGACGTCCGCACAGAATGTCAGAAATCCGGATTCGATTCCCGGTCGAGGTAATACTTTTTCACAATATAAATTAATTATTTACAGATTTTTAATATGTCATTCATAGATTTTAATAAAATCACAAAATTGTTAAATTGTTAATCAATTTAACTCGTGATAGTATTGCGGTAGTTTATTAAAGTTTGCATAAGTCTAAACAAATTTTGGTGCGCATTTTTAAGAATCTACGTAGTATACAATTTCACACGAAATTATATATATTTGAAGCATCCAAGATCCAACTTAACTGTTACGGCACAATACATAATTGTTATCTTTACAAGAGAAAGCTCGATATTTTCCTTATTCGTTATACTTTACATAGCAAATGTTTTGCAGACATTTCCGAAATTGTTGAACGCGACTCTTGTGTTGCTTTGTATAAGCTTTAATAAATCTCTTAATAGACGCATTCCACGTGCGCGCAAGTACACGTGGTGTCACAGTCTAACCGCTCGTCACCCTTTTGGATGTGGCTTGGGTTTTTAGCTTGCTATAACTCCGATAATTATGTTACCAATGCGTCGAAGGACAAAGAGCTCTCGAGCAATGGAACGATGGATGGCCCGTTCGCTCGCTCGCGAAAGCCAGAAGAGACATGGTTGCTTGGTAGCCCAGCTGCCGGTAATCCTCCCTTTGTAATTTGCCTCTATGACCCCCTCCCTCCCTTTTTTCATTGGCGTCGATTTTTTTCTGTGGATCTTTCCCTGTACGTTTTCCAACGATCTTCTAATTATCGGTACGCCACTTTTGTCATAAAATTCTAATCTATCGTGATTTTATTAGATGTATAAATGCAACTGTGTATTAATAAACGACTAATAGTAATATATAAGATAGATTACAAAATTAAATTATATAAAATATATTATATAAGTAAATCACAGGTTGCATGCAAAACATAAATTCAAGATAGTCATTCGAAATAGTGGCTTTTCCAGGATTGCTAAAATAAAGAATAATTATTCTTGAATTTTTAGAAATAAAGCTACAAAAAATTTTCTCATTATACAAACACAAATTCTATTTACAAATTCGAAAGCAGTGAGTGTTCCATTTACAAGTGTCTACATAGTCTACGCCAATGGCGAGCGGTTGATGTCACCGTGGCCGTGCCCTCCGGATAATAGAGTCCGCGACTTTAATGGACTCGCTAATCCTCTTCCCTGTTTGTCGGCGAGGGGGCACGCATTCACGAGATGCACGGAGGTAAGAATCGTCAGTGAAGGGATAGGGCGGGGTGGTGTGATTGCGGTACGTGTGCCTCTCCGGGGTGTGCGAAGTGAAGACTACATTCGTTCGTGCGGGCCACCGTCATGACGGCGGAAGGGGGTGACGTACAAGGGGGTGATCTCTCTGGCCTGTCCTGCCAGAATGTGTAGATACGCCCCTTGTGTGGAACCATCGGTGCGATGATACCCTCGAATTTCTCAGCTGAGCTATGCTACGTGTTATGAATATGTATGAGAACGAACGTTTTGTGTAATTGCATTTGTTGAGAAATATGTTTTCGAACTAATATTCATGCATTTGGAACAAATTCAGTTTAAAGAAATGCGATGGTTGTCTCGATGGTTGAAAGTGGCCGGTAGATCTGAAAGGGACGATAAAGGGGTGCATAATTAAACTACAAACATACGTCTCAAAGTTGACATAAACGATAACAGTGTAATCTTAAAATCTTAAAGCAACAATTTGATGTAATAAAACGATTTGTATGATTTTTAGCATGAGAATAAAATTTATTTATACAAATTTTCTGCCACAAATTTCGTACAATACATGTTCCTAATGTATAATTTATAAATCGGTATGAAAAAATTTGAATGCGATTGTGAATGAATAAAATGATATGTGAAATGAAGTGGAATTAAATGTAAAAAAATATGAAACGAATCAAGGAATAACACAAATTATTATGAAAAATAATTTTTTCTAAAAATTAATTTTTCGTTTTAGAATTATTAAGATAAAAATAGCAACTTAAAACTTAACCTTTTTTATTTATTTGTCTCAATTCGTCTTAACAAATTAACGTAAAGATACTTATATACTTATATAAATATAATAGAATATTTATTCTCTAAACTATTTAGAATAGAAATTCATTCTAAAAAGTAAAAATTTCTTTAGCGTGACATGTATTCTAAGAGCACAAAAAAGAGTAAACAACAGTTACTTTTGCATTTTAGGATTATAAGGATTACGAAAAGATTATGAATTCATGAGAAATGATTGACGTTCTTGGAAGAAGGAAACAGCGATTTTAGATAGATATCGTCCTAATACCCTAATTAGGCAGATTATCCTTGATGTCCTTGCGGAATCGCATTAGGTAGATTTTGTTGAATCTGCACGAGCTGCTGAAGCTGTGGCGGCAGATTCCTGGAATACTGATAATTAGGCTGACCAACTTGCTGCTGTGGCAGCGGCTGCGGTGCGTAGTTGTTACGATATTGTTGATTGTATTGTTGTGGAGGAGCTGCGGCGCCGGGCGGCGGATTGTATTGAGCTGGTCTTACGGGAATCTGCTTATAGGTTGGCTGCTGAGGCGCTTGACCTATTTGTATGTTCGGTCGATACTGAGTTAGCTGGTTCTGCTGCAAGTACTGAGGCTCAATGGGAGTTGAAGGAGCGAAATTTGGCACCGGTTGTGGTGGAAGATGAACGATTGGATCGCGATACTGCTGTGCGGCTAATATCTGTTTGATCGCTGCCGGTGCTTGATTGTAAGCTCGGTAATTGGGATTCTGCGCTTGTCTGCGTTCGCGAATGTGGCCTGTAAAGTCCATTCCACAATTGCGTAAACGTAGTTGTAAGTCATTGTAGTTGTAAGAATTGACTAGTCACAGTCGCATTTGAGGCGAATATTCGATTATGATTAATTTTTATAACTACAACTACTTACAACTACACTGACGCAATAGAATAGGCATAAGATAATTGCGAACAAATGCAAATTATTGTCAATGAGAAAATTGACTTTTATTTATAATGACAAAAAGAATAGAAAACAATATTCTCGAGAATTTAAAGCGTCCACTAAATTTATTACTCACTGTGAAATTCCCTTCCCAGCACGGGTGTCACAACAAGGATTAAAAACTGAAAGGTAATAATATATTAAATAATAATAATTTTTGTATATATAGAAAAAGAATTCAAGGTATAGATATTCTTTACGTAAATGTCAAAAGTAGGAAGAACGTACGTAACTTCTTTTGTATACATTCCAACGTAAAGTAGAAATCTTATATTTTAAAATGCTACACTGAAAGAAAAGATTCAGCCTATCTTTTTTCTTTGTAGTGTAAAGAATCATTATTTACAATGTAAATAGGATTTCCTAGAGAGCTGACGTTAATTATTCATATAGTTATCAGCGCCATTTGCACTACAAGAAATAATTAATTATTCAGATGTGTAATCTGGTGTAAATTCAAGTAGCACAGCATACTTATTCATTGAAGCTTGATTTTATAGGAAGAAATGCAATGCGACGTTTTTGAAGCGTGACGATTGCGTGCAGCAAAGTAATTCGCGGCAATTATATTACATAACGAGAAAGACCCTTGAATTAAAAAAATAAAAACTCTATCAATTTTGTAATAACTTGTTTATAATATTATGATAACGGTTTTTATAACTTTCTTCATCGTCAGTAAAATATAACACTTCGACTATCTTTGAATGTGTGGAATAGGATTTATAGAATAGAATTAACATAATGGAATTTGTGATGAATATTTTAGCGAAATTGGTCACAATTCCTAAAAAAGTTACATATTGAAATGTTGAGATAAATAAAAAGAATTACGAATTTATAATCGAACTTCTTGTTTTGATTTACTTTTACATCTTCAATAATTCAATATACACCATCAATGCCTCCGCGAGAAAAGGAAAAGAGAAAGTGTTAAACGCTGTTCGGATTATATCAACTTTTTATACTCAACAGATGGAGATATTTAACAGTCGACGCTAGATGAACGATAAAGTTTTGCTTATATGTTCTATTTTTTCTTTAATTACGTAGGCTTAAAAATAAAACTGTAACAAAATTTTACGATCAACACGAGATTGGAAAGCAAGAAAGCGAGCACTCGGATGTCGGCTGCTCCACAGAGCGGTTTTGATCGCACTTTCTTCTTGCGTGCATCGCACCGCGGAACTTCGTGTGGCTTTTAAAATCGCGTAAACTTACGAGGAATCTCATGATTGCTGAACGACGATATCCGAAGGGCAGCAGGACGAAACTGGCGGCCACGTCGAAACGCACTTCTATATGGGGCGCAGTCGTCACGGACCGAGCCGTACCGTCGGCCACCACCAACTTTCATGGTTCGACGGGTTTCGAACGATTTTTTCCGCGTGCAAATCCCCCGCCCGTTGTCACGTAACTTAATGAACGAATGTACTAGCTGGCCGCCGCTAGTTATGCTAGGAAGTGATCGGCACGGCGCGGCGGTATAAAAAAGTTAAAGTGCAGAGCACGGTACATATTTGTCTCTTTCGTATACAATGCCTCGGGAAATACAGAGAATTGTATGATAATAATTTTACTTTAATTTCAGTTTAAAAATAGATAAAATTACAATTAAAGTAATTTAAAATTATTATTTATTATTATATTATAAGATATTACAATTAATTATAAAACAAAATGTTACCATTTTACTATTAATAAATTAATTCTAGATTTTTCAAAAGATAATATATTTGTATTGTACTTGTGAATAAATTTCATTATACATACACAAACATAGTATTATATGTATATAAATAAGATATTTAATATTTTTCTATAAAATTATTTTTGCATAACATTTATAAAATTAATATTTATTAACTTTTTATTTCGATGATCTAACATTGAAGAAGCTTCAGGGTCAAGATAACATTTTTCACAATAAAATTATTTTATTTCAAATTATTTTTATATTATCTCAAATTGGTTGTATATTACATACTGCGGGACAACATCATTGTTTGCAACTCTGAGTAATTTTTAATTTTATATTGTATTTGTCGCTGATGATGAAACTAAGGATCGAAACGTTCGACATGGTATCTATGTTATAGATTTTAAGATTGTATATTTTGCGCACTACTAACAGCGTTGACTCTTAATAGCCTTTGTATTTACTTAATTTTTTGTATTATTTTTATATTATATTATATATCATATATAAAACTAATACTATACATTTTTGAGGTTATTATACAAATAATTAATTAATATTAACCAAAAAGGAAATAAATCGTAAGATTGGTTTAATAAAATTTTTAAGACATTATTAGGATTAATTGTTTATTCTTTAAGGCACATTGTATAGTATGCAGCATTGTAACATGTTAATCATGAAGGAAATTATCTACTTACAAATGATAATTATCTATTTAGAAATAACAACGACAGTAAATTCTTTCCTCCTACACACAAAATTAAATATACCTCTCATACAAGGTTTATATAATTCCACATTACATCGTAAATCACGGCGATACCGTTACGTGAAAGTGGTTCGACCGTGTCTTTTTTCCCTGAATTTTTTTTTTGCAATCATGCTGAATCTCGAATTTTACAATCGGAATTTTACGTTGCCTATATCGAATCGTTGACTATAGTTAGAGAATTAAACATAGTGTGTATGCTACCGATTTTTTTCAAACTAGTGAAAGTTGTTTGTTTCTCTATATGTACAGTTCTACTTTATATACGTATAATTGCATATCAATTTCTTTTATTTCTGTATTTGACTCTATTAATGTAATTATATCTTTTAACTCTTTACTAAAAGTCTTAAAAAATTGTTTTAATTTTTTAAAGTTTTTGTATGTATTAATGTTTATAATTCTATCTAGCAAAATTTTATCGTTTGTCGATCGCCAAATGCTAAGTATCTCTATTCCCGAAAAAAATTCAATTTAGTTTTTTTTTTAGAATTTTATGAATTTATATTTTTAGTTAACGACTAATTATAATTAGGTTTAATAATGATTACATATTTATTGTAATTTTTAAAAAGATTATAAATTATAATAATCTTTTGGCTATATCTTAAATGTAAAGCGTTATTTTAGAAGATTATCAATCTCATGCTGTTGTACTCAAAGACTTGCAATCACGAAAACTTGTTGATTACTTGCGCACGCGACGTTCACGATGGAAATGTAGCATTCCACATGGTCGACGAATGAACGAAGGTGCACAGTAATAGATATCTGTTCAATAGTAAAGGATATACGTATACGTTACATTCAGTCACGTAATAGTAAGCCGGTGCAAGGAACGAATGTACGCATTGCTTCCGTGTTCGCTGCAAGTCGTAAATTGAGTGCATCATTTAAATGCACTGCTACAATATAATGCGCTCTACATATTAAGGACGCGGCGATAGCGTATCGAGAGCGTAATATATGTAACAGTAGATAGAAAGGTGAAAAGTGCTGCACAAAGTTTAAAAATTTGGAATAACTCATCGAAAAATGATCGTATCGAGATCAATAAAAATTATTTTAAAGACAAAATTCTATACTTTCACGTTGATGTTGTCCCATTGAGAAACTAAAACCGTAATAAAAAATCTAAAAACTAATGGTTATTATTTAAAACAATAATTTCGTAAAATGAGCATACAACCACACACAAGTTCTTATTAGTGATAAATCATTATAAAACAAATAATTTATTTATATCATTGTCATAATCAAACAAATAATTGTTTGATTATGACAGTGATATAAATAAATTATTTGTTTTATAATGATTTATCATTAATAAGAACTTGTATGTGGTTGTATCATTTTACGAAATAATTGTTTCGAATCTAACCACGTTTTTGTGAAATTTATTTGTTATTATTTAATATTATCGGTGTATTTTGATTACGACCATTTTGGAATAAAATTGGATAGCCAAGACCGAGAACTAGAAATCTAGTTCCGAAAAAAGAGCATCTTAGATTTTCAGATATTTTCAGAAGAATTGTATGTAATGATCATTTTGTTAATTAATTTTACAAATAATGTACTATAAATCATATTTTTTGTGTTAGAATTTTGCGTTAAAGCGACCCGTGCACGTCAAATTTTTTCTGCACTATAACCCAGTTGACAATTTTACTTTCAGATTATTTTATTCGTCTTGCGTTATGAAATACTTGGCTAATAGTATTTATTTCGGTTACGTTTTTTATGATGCAGATCTCTGGATACCTTATTTGTGCACTTGGAATATATTTTCTTTGTTCTACAGATATTTTATAGGGATATAACAATTTCAGATAAGCGAGACGGTAGAAATTCTGTACAATTTGTCCAATTGTAATCTCGATGAAGATTTACGTGAACAGGTAACTAATTACAACAGAATTTTCATAAGATTTTAATTATTCTGCGCGTAATGTTATTAGCGCCTACAGAAGTTCGGACACCTGTATAAATTTCATCGAATTATTATGTAAAAAACAGAAACATTGTAAAACAACAATTGTATTAAGCTCTTGCATACTATGTACTATCACCATACTTACATAAATACACATATATAGACTTTCTGTACATAGCTACTGATTGCATTCAGTATGCCGTCAACTTATCTGAAATAATGGAGTTGAATAATTTTTTTCAATGCAACAGATTAATTTTGACTCAAATTTAGTTTATTTCTTGAGGACATACGAGAGCAGTTTGATAAGTACCCGTGTTTGACGACTGAGGGTGCCTCTGACTAAAAGTCTGTATACCATCGTGTAACTCCATTTTTTGAACGACGCAAGTTAAAATTTCAGACAGCTGTGCCTGTTAGTTTAGTTTTTATAACAATTGAAAGTTGACGAGTTTGTGCATGTTTGCAATCATGGAAAAAGAGCAATATCGGTCTGTGATTCGATTCCTGTTTTTGGATGGGAAGACACGTGTGAAGAAATCAAAGAAAAGCAACTTTTTCCAAGCAACTTTTGCTCAAAATTCTTTATTAATCAAAGTGTCGAAAATCTTAAAAAGTGAAAAAAGTTTATTTATCTATATATAATATTCAACTTGATCTATAAAAAGAACTTCTAATTATTGCATCGTTCACACAAACATAGATATTTATATTTAACAAATATTACGTTAAATAAAGTATTTTTCTCTTTCTATTTCAAAAGGATCAAAAGAACTTATTTCAAATTAATTATGATTTTTTTTATTGTAATTTATTTTGTTCAAGAATCTAACTAATACATTTTTAAAGTAATAATTTATCTATATCTTCATCTAATTTTATTTGTTGATAAACTATATTCGATAAGCTGTTGAAAAAAAAACTCGATCGTAATATTATCACATAATAGAATCCAGTCCTAGAAGACTTGTTCTATCAATTGGAACAAACGAAAGACAATAAAAAACACTTTGTCGAGGTGATCAGTACTGACTCTCGGTGACAGGTCTTACTCCAGGCTGCTGATTATAGCCGAGCTGTTGATATTGTTGGTTCTGATACGCGGGCTGTATCGGCTGTATGTTAGCCTGCGTATATGCGCTGGCTTGACCATCGTAAGCGCCACTTTGTCCTTGATATTGTGCTTGACTCTCGTAAGCGCCACCCTGTCCTTGATACTGTGCTTGTTGTAACGGCTGCTGTTGCTGTAGTTGCTGCGAGTCCACGCGATGCGGCACGTACGGCTTGTCCGGACGATACACGATCTGGTTAGCAATTATATTGTACGGCGTTTCCGCCTGATATCTCAGCAGTTCGCGCAAGTGAGGTGGCAGATTGGGCGAATATTGAGGTTGTGGTTCCACCGGGGGCTGGGATATCCTACGGTACTGCGGTTGTTGGTGAGCCTGACGTTTGCTCCTGGAGTGACCGCGTGACTTTTGACGAGGTGCAGACGCGATCACGGGCTCAGCTAGAGGGGCAGCCGCCGCCTCTTGCGCCAACTTCTTGAGGTGTTCTTGGACCTGCTGAGATTGAGCTCGTACCGCAGCCTCTTCGTCGAATCTGCAATTGGATTAAGGATCATTGAAACTGCAGCGTATTTGAATTATTAAATAATAATAGATAGTACTTAATGTAATATTAACAAAATATAAGTAAAAATGTTAAGATCTCTAATCTTATTCGACATTTTTATTGTTCCAAACCTGTATGGTTCCGGAATTATATTGATGTACGGAATTTGCTGCTGGAACTGAAGCAATTGCTGGATCTGTGGCGGTGCATTAGAGTAAGGCCTGTAATGTGGCTGTGGTTCCGGTTG